CTTCTTTCCAGTGCATTTTGTTTTTGAGGCTATTTATCATCTGTTCACTTCTTTACATACCTTAGTGCAAGAATTCCTTGGGATGGGTGAGAGGGATTTTAACGTTCAAGGGAAGTCTACTTGCCCTCGCGTGTTTGGCCGTGCTGATGAGATCCTAACCGAGGAGGAGGGGAGATATGCTGAGGAAAAAGAAAGGTTTATTCAAAGTTTACCTCCTAGTCCAAGGTATTAGCTGTATGGTAGGCCTCGAACCGAGAAGGAAACCCAAGCCGCCTTACTAGGAAGTTATAGAGGAAGCGGGAGTAGAGGGGCGTCTTCATCTCGTCCTTTGGTCCGCAGTCGAGGGAGGGGTATCCGAGGTAGAGTAGCTTCTTCCCGTCCTCCAGCCCGGAGACATATCCCGGATCATGGAGCCCGTCATGGTGGTTTAGGGGCTCTATCTATATGTCTCGTTCACAATCCATCTTTTAATCCCCTTCCTCCAAACTTGACCCCTGCTTTTCTTCCTCCTCTCTCGAGAGTTCCCACTCAGCTGAGTACTAGGAGTGTAGATCCCTGTTTCAATTGTATTTATCTCAATGCCCAGTTTGTTGAGAAGGAAAATGACTTCATGGCCGATCTAATTTTAGCCAGTTGTTCACACGTTCCGGGTTCTACCACCCCTTCTCGTGTTGTCGGCTCTGATGACTCCAGCTCTTCCGACTCTAGTCTGTTTAATTTGGGTACGTATCTTTGTTACGTGCTTTTCTTGCCTTTTAATCCTCCCATTTTACTGTTCTAGGTATTTATGGAGTCCCATTCTACAGAGTTAAATGTGGATACTACCTCCACCAGCCGAGGTCAGGAGGCCAAGGCGAATCCGGCTGAGAAAGGTTCTGCACATGTTACTGATAATCTTCGCACCCAATATCCCTGGGTTACAGAGGAGGTGTTGAGCTTTGCATCCTAGATGTCTACCGAGGAAGTGTTTGGACTTCCAATCGGAAACCCGGTTGATTTTAACATGTTCGTTCCTGCCGATGATGAACCCGTTTGTTCAGGGCTGAACCCTGAAGAGCCCTTCTCCTTCTTCTTCTATCGTGATCTCGTGACGAAGATTGGGATTCGATTTCCCTTTTCTCCCTTTAAGATGCAGCTCTTGAACCACCTACTACTTGCCTCAACCCAGATTAACCCCAACGGTTGGGCTTATATTGTTGCGTTTGAACAACTGTGCGCCTCCTTATCTCTGTCGTGCATTGTTCCTCTGTTCATGTATCTTTTTCAATATTTATACCCCACGCACTGGTTCGGAGCCTCCTGAACATAAGGGATGGACGAGTATTCGAAGCCGAGCTTGCAAGCCGCCTAGAAGGCTATTTTTCGTGTATAGTGAGTCTTTCAAAGACTTCAAAGCTTATTTCTTCAAAGTGGTGGCCGAGGTTGAGAAAAAGCCATGGTTTATTGGTGATAGCGGGGAGCCCGCCTTTCCCCTCTATTGGTCACAAGAGCATCATCTCCGCAAACCAGCCGACTTCAAACTGAGGCTATCATTAGAGGATAAAACCAATTGTAAGACTTTGTTGGACCATGTGCGTTCCCAAGGTCATCTGAGTGCAGCTTCTTTGGTAGCTAAACCGCATTCCAATTCGGAGCCCCCCAGTATGCCTTATGCTAATTAACTTCTTGTTGCTTTGCTATTTTCTTACCACTATTTTAACTTTGGTTTTTTTTAGCAGGTTCCGACATGAATTTTGACCTGGAGGAAGAAGGACCGGGGCCGGATTATATTTTGTCATTGACGGGTCAAACTTCTGCCCCATTACCACCTCCTTCAAAAAGACCAAGGAGGATCCGCCCGGTTGCGGCTACTTCCACCCCGGCATTCAATTCTGGAGTCTCCATTCTGGATCTCACTGATGACTGCAAGAATATGGAAACTGATGCAAACCTAGCTTCACCGATATCGGCTAGTGGGGGTGGCACACATGCCGTGATCACTCCTCCTTGGGGTACCCCTGCTCCAGCCGATCTCCCAGCTGGACTTAGGAGGGGAGCGTTATGGGACTCAGGGGTAACTGCCGAGCTCTGGGGTGTTGTCCGTCCTCCTCCTGCGTTTTCTGGCTTCAGACTTATCTCGAGAGTCGAGATGGAAGAGCTCCAGAAGGCAGAATTGTATACTTTCAAGACTGCTTCGTTAGTGAAACCATATTCCTTGCTGCTGGAAAAACACGCCGAAGCTGTGGAGGAGCTTGGCGAGCTCCGGATGAGGCATAGCCAGGCTGTTCTTGACAATGAGAAGTTAACCAACAATGCTGCTGAATTGAAGACTTCTTTGGAGAACTCACAGGCAGACCTGAAGTTTATTTCTGACTCCCTCAATGTGACTGCTGATAAAGATAGCATTGTAAATTGTTTCAAAGAACAATCAGACGCTCTGAAAGAGAAGGATTCAAAGGTTGCCGGTTTGTTTGCGGAGAATGACAAGTTGAAGTTGGATCTTCAAAATTTGCAAACTGCTTATGACTTTAACCGATCTGCTCTCGAAAAGGCCGCCATAAGTGCCTTTAAAAATGGTGTTAACCAGGTAAGGTATTTGAATCCTGAATTTCCCTTGAAGCTCGATCAGCTGGACTGCTTTGGTTACGTTCGTGGTGGGGTTTATTTCCCCCCTCCTTCAGCTAATCAGAACATGCCAGAAAGTAGCACCTCTCAAGCTGGGATCACTTCGGGGGTAGAAGCCGCTGGGATTACTTCGGGGATAGAGGCAGCTGGCGTCGAGTTCGAGGCCGAGATGCGGGAAATAATGCATAATGATTTTCCAGAGTGAAGAGCCGGAATGCCGGTTTACTTTGTAATTTGCTGCGTTTTAGCTTTCTGATTACTTTAAGAACCCTTCCTGCTTTTAGACTCCTTTAATTGCTAATGGGAATTTGGCTTTGTGCCCTTGTTGATGTACTTTGGTATTTATTGTTTGACTAGCTTCTTTTTTTAAGGACGTTAGGGAATTAAGGGCGTCCCCCTAATTTCCCGCCTAAACTCGCTAGGATAGCACGCCGCCCTTGCTCATTTTGGCAAGGTTGGTTGCAATGCTTTCAATTTGACATATACTCATAGTTTGCCCTTAGGCTTAGACGGTTCTAAATTCCCCATGTTTATTGTCGGGCTAGAACTCCAATCTTTCCCTTAGGCAAGAGGGTTTAAATACCTCGACGTTATTGATCGGGTTAGAACTTAGTCTTGCCCGTAGACAAGAAGGTTCAAATACCTCGACGTTAGTAGCCGGGCTAGAACTCCAATGTTGCCCTTAGGCAAGTGGGTTTAAATACCTCGACGTTGGTGCTGGGCTAGAACTCCAATGTTGCCCTTAGGCAAGAGGGTTCAAATACCTCGACGTTACTGGTCGGGCTAGAACTCCGTCTTGCACTTAGGCAAGAGGGTTCAAATACCTCGACGTTATTTGCCGGGCTAGAACTCTGTCTTGCCCATAGACAAGAGAGTTCAAATACCTCGACATTACTGGCCGGGCTAGATCTTTGTCTTGCCCTTAGGCAAAAAGGTTCAAATACCTCGACGTTATTTGTCGGGCTAGAGCTCTGTCTTGCCCTTAGGCAAGAGGGTTCAAATACCTCGACATTATTTGCCATGCTAGAACTCTGTCTTGCCCGTAGGCAAGAGAGTTCAAATGCCTCGACATTACTGGCCAGGCTAGAACTTCGTCTTGCTCTTAGGGAAGAGGGTTCAAATACCTCGGATTTATTCTGGAAATGAACTTCTGAAAAATATACTTGATTTATTCAATTTATTGAACTTGAAATTTGAACTACAATTTATGAGCAAGAACTTTTCAACTGAAATATTTCTTCAACTTGTCTGCATTCCAAGTTCTTCTGACCTGCTTTCCCTGTGGGGTTTCCAACACATAAGCTCTTTTTGATAATTTGGCTTTAATTTTGTATGGTCCTTCCCATCTCGGAGCCAATTTTCCTTCAGTTGTGTTTAGTCCTCTGATATCTGCCCTTCGAAGAACCAGCTCTCCCACAGCAAATGACCGCGGCTTTACCTTTTTGTTGAATCGGTTTACCACAAGCTGCTTTGCCGCAACATTTTTGCAATGAGCAGTGACCCGAGCTTCATCTATCAAATCCAGCTCCACAGCTATTTTGATATTTTTTTCTTTTTCGTTTTGTGACAAAGCTTGGACCCTTCGCCATGACGGTTCTCCTAGTTCCACCAGGATCATGGCCTCGGCACCGTAAGTTAACCTGAACGGGCTTTCTCCGGTAGAAGTTTGCACCGTGGTTCTGTACCCCCATAGTACATACCATAATTCTTCTACCCACTTCCCCTTGGCGCATTGTTCCATTCTTTTGCGTAACTCGGCTATAATGACCTGATTTGCCGCCTCGGCTTGACCGTTAGATTGAGGATGTTCTACAGACGCAAAACGATGCAGATGTGAAGATTTGCCATTAATTCTTGGAAAGTTTTGCTTGTGAATTGGGTCCCATTGTCGATAACCACCTCGGCTGGGATCCCAAACCTGCAGATCAAGTTCCTCTCGAAGAAACGCTGCACCCTTGCCGTGGTAATTGTTGCCACTGGCTCTACTTCTATCCATTTAGTAAAGTAATCAACAGCCACTATTAACCATTTTAACTGTCCTTCAGCCGCAGCGAATGGACCCAAGAGGTCCATCCCTCATTTAAAGAACGGCCATGGAGCCGTGATCAAACTTAACTCTTCTGGTGGTACCAACAGGTTCTTACCGTGCTTCTGGCATTGATCGCATTTCTGCATATGTTCCTTCGCGTCATGACTCATAGATGGCCAGAAATAGCCTACCCTGAGAGCTTTTCGGGCTAGTGCCTTGCCTCCAACGTGCTGGCCATTGATCCTCTCATGGATTTCAGACAGGACGTATTTCGCCCTATCCGAGCTTAGACACTTTTTCAAGGGTAAATAGGCTCCTTTTTTGTAAAGTTGCCCTTCTACCATTGTGTATAATGCTGCATCCTTAACTAGCTTCCGGGCTTCCTCCTTTTGGGGGGTAGCGTCCCATTTTTTATGTAATCAATGATGGTACTACGCCAATCTTTGCCTTCGGTTATCTGCATGACGCATGTAGGTTCTGGGATATTCTGCTCAACCACTGTCCTGTGGTTTCCCCAACCTTTAGTGCTTGCCAGCTTTGACAATATATCAGCCCTGCTATTTTCATTTCTGGGAATATGGTTGACTTCTACTTTTCCAAACTTCGTTATTAACTGCCTTGCGGAATCCAAGTATTTTGCTAACAATGGTCCTTTAGATTGGTAGCTTCCTACAATCTGGGAGGTGACCAGTTGCGAATCACTATAGATTTGCAGTCTCCTTGCTCCGAGTTCTTTGGCCTGTTGAAGCCCGGCTATGAATGCTTCATATTTTGCCTGGTTGTTTGATGTTTCAAAGTTCATTTGCATGGAGTATTCAACCGAAACCCCTTCCGGGTTCTCAATAATTACCCCGGCCCCGCTACCTTTGGAGTTTGAGGACCCATCCACGTAGATTTTCCAGGTGTCTAAGTTTGTTGAGCTCTCTTTTTGGATTGAAGTAAGCTCTCTGACAAAATCTGCCAGTACTTGAGACTTGATTGCTTTTTGGCTTTCGAAAACTACGTCAAATTCTGATAATTGCACAGCCCAAGCCATCATTCTTCCTGCTAAGTCGGGCTTATGCAAAATTTGCCGAATTGGCAAGTCTGACCTGACTACAATCCGGTGTCCTTGAAAATATGCTCTAAGTCTTCTAGCCGAGATTAGCAAGGCGAAAGCCACCTTTTCTAACTTCTGATAACGAAGCTCTGCTCCCTGCAAGAGCCGACTTACGAAGTAAATCGGTTGTTGCCCCTCTTCATTTTCTTGAACCAGGACCAAGCTAACAGCAACATCTCCCACAGAAAGATATATTATCAATGGCTCCCCTTCTCTTGGACTAGATAAGACTGGTGGTGATGCCAGCTACTTTTTAATTTCTTGGAATGCTGCCTCACATTCCGAGATCCACCCACATTGCACCTCCTTTCGTAACAGTTTGAAAAAAGGTAGTGTCGTTTCCGTAGACCGAGGTAAAAACCTAGTGAGGGAAGCTAGCCTTCCAGTCAACTGTTGGATCTCTTTTTTGCTTGCCGGTGCCTTCATTTCAAGCACGGCTCTG